GAATTTTTGTTGTAGCATAAACAGACACTTGGCCGTTTGGTTTCAAATACCAACTGCTTGTGCACTACTTTTCACCATAGTTTTACTATTGCCATCTGCTACCAACCACGCTGTTGGTATGGTAATTAGCGCCCTTCGACTGCAACTCTCTCGACGTTGCTCAGGTTCGTGCTGCAAAATGCAGATCAACAAGCGTACACACAATTTTTGTACCTAGTTGACTCTGCGCCCTTCAGTTGCAGCTCCCTCGCCGCTGTCGAAAAATTCTTCTGCGTCCCTCAACCACAACTTCTTGCTTCGTTCTCCATTAGATTTTGAATTCCATTAGCCTGCCTTTGAAATGTTGCGCTCTCGTCGTCTCACTCTCACTTGCAAGAGAGAATCGCGTCACTTCCAACTCTTCTCTCTTAGTCGCACTCACGTGGTTTTATAACGGTGGCGCGTTTGGCAAAATTCGTAGAATTGTGTACATACATAAAATATATAAAGTTTCATGTACGTTACAGCGCACGTATGCAAACGTTTGTTAAATACACGCACTTAAGAAAAAAAAACTTCCCGGACGAGCCCACAATATTTGTGGGTTTTACACAAATGTAGTTTATTTAATTTATTCACTAAGTGCTTTAATTATTTAATGATAATATTAGTATTTAAGTATACGTTTACAAAAGGTTTACTTTAATTTATTGAATGAAAGATGCACACAAACACGATCAACCACAAAACTGAACTAGACGCCTTAGCGGACGTATCATGACCTCCTCCCTTGAACGACGTATCACAAGTGCCTTTCGCTTGTGTAGACTATCCTATCGAATAGTAATATCGATACCCCTTCCCTTATTACCCTGTATACATACTACAACTGTCACTTCCTGCCTATCCTACATGTAGTATATGCAGACGCCAACCAAAAGAAACGTTACATTCCGATCATATATACACGACGCGTCAGGATGTCGCCATTTTAATGTATGTATATATGTTATATTACTCATGTATGTTATATTACTCATCACTCGTTGCACTTTTGTATGTATGTGCGACCCGAGTGAGTATTGGTTATTCACTTATAGTATGTATGTATATTGGCACTTGTTCATTACTCGGTCTTTGTATATTGCGTATTAGCGAATATTAATCTGTCTCTTCTGCAGTTATCTTCACCTTTATTTTACACAAGTGTGAAGACGATCACCATATTTGGCGTCGTTGCAAACGAAACACAATTCCGAAAATACAATCCAATTAAACGCTGAAAAGTTTTTTAAGAATGTTGGCTTGTCAGAGATCACGAACTTCTTAGAGCAACCGAAATAAATATACCACTCCTGTGTATCGTTTTTAATAAGTGTATTTAACTATAACTGATACTGATATAATATAATGCCATGAAATAAAGTGCTGAAGAAGGAAGTTTACTGAGGAAGCTTAAAAAACTTTTCGTGTGTCTACTCCGCTAGTGTTTAACCAACTAACTGTTAGCTTGCTAGTAAGGATTCTCGATACAATAAGTATGGAGTGACAATATATCGATATTACGATCAGTAATGTATTGGTGATTTTAATAGTGTTAGAAGATTTTTAATTGTTTTAAATTTGAAAATATGATTTTGGCGGCAACAACCAATGAGGATCTTATCCTTCGCCACTTCTGCGAAGGTACGATGTAGGCGCTGTGGTCGCATTCGCTTGGGTGGCTATGGCGGCATTTTTTCTGCCGACCTCTGCCTCTTTGGGGCATTCCTATAACGTTTTATCGGAATTTCTGGCTTGCGCTCCGGTAAAATTCCTTCGACTGTCTTGGGACGTCTCCGGAGTGATATGGTGCTCCTGCAGTATATCTGCTGCGCGTTTCTTGTCTTCATACTTTGTTTTGGGCTTTGGTGGCATCATCGCCGAAGTGCCTGGCTCTGCAGATTTGTGGTTTGGTAGCTTGGCTTAGATGCTTCGACTTCGAAGTGGAGGGGTCTGACTATCCTCAGATTCTGAGACAAGCAATTGGCATGTCGGATTGTCTCCACGTGCACTGACAGCGATGGGATGAGAGCTAGAGGCTTCCATCCTATTGAAGGTTAAGTCTATGACCGTTTGGTTAGAGGGATTTATGGTCCCGCCCGGCTAATGGCGAGTTCCGGTCTCAGTTTTTGTTTTGATATTTTTATACCCTGTACCCGTAGGGTAAAAAGGGTATATTAGGTTTGTGCAAAGTATGTAACATGCAGAAGGAAGCATCTCCGACCCCATAAAGTATATATATTCTGAATCAGAATGACGAGAGAAATCGATCTAGACATGTCCGTCCGTCCGTCCGTCTGGATGAACGCAAGGATCTCAGAAACTATAAAAGCAAGAATAACCAAAGTTGGCATCCAGATTCTCCTAGGTCCGAGAAAGGACGAGTTTATTTTATTTTTTAGAATTTCCCCCCTTCCCCCGCTACAAAATTTCGTCAATAGCGTCCACATTTCAAATGCTACCTAAACCAAACTTTGCACACATAATTTATACATAATTATATACTGTTGTTCGAAATTTATAATATATTATATTTATTCAATTCGGTCAATTCTAAGAAAAGTTATTAGCAAAACAAATTCTCGCCAGTACAACCCCCCAAACTGCAGCAACAAGTTCGCTCTTCTTCCTATTTTGCTGCTGCTATGGGCGCATATAACTCAGTGACGGAAGTTTACCTGGGTACAGGGTATTACACTGTCGGGCTTGCTCGACTGTAGCGTTCTCTCTTGTTGTTTTTAATTTCATTGTGTTTGTTCCCACGAGTACGCGGGAAGGGGTGGGTCACCCGTGGCATAGCCCGTGTACCACGGGAAGCCTGGTTAAAACTGGAGGTCAGCAGGTTTCCAAAATTCGTCCTTAGTAGAAACTGAGCACCCCCCTCAGCCACGCATCCATCGGCCTAAGCTGTTCCGCCTTGGATTGAGGAAAATTTGATAGAGTATTCAGCTCTCGCCCGACTACCATTCGTCAATACCACTTGGCAAAGACATGACATTGCTAAGGGCTTGCTTCCCGCCACCCTCGCGAGGGGAGTATAGTCGCACTACGAGTAGTGTATCACCAATACGGTGCGTACCATCTGGCTTGATGGTTACACGTGATCCCCTTGTGATACCCATTGGCTGACAGCCAAGAAATGTAATTACATAATTTAATTAATTAATTAATTGGACAATTATACAAGTAATTATACATACATAGGTGTCATTCCTTCTTTTTCTGCGTGTTACATTCATTCGCATAAAACTAATATAGCCTTCCGGCATTGAGTTAGAGAAAGAAGAAGAGCAGCTTTGATACTTCTGGGAGTAGTACTGGAGTGAAATTTTTTATACTCTGTACATGAAATGTACAAGAGTATATTAGGTTTGCGGGAGCTGAAAAATGTAACAGGCAGAAGGAGGCGTGGCAGACCCCACAAAGTATATATATTATTGATCAGCGTGACAAGACGAGTCGATCTAGCCCTGTCTGTCTGTCTGTCCGTCTGTCCGTCCGTATGAACACCTGGATCTCAGAGACTATAAGAGATAGAGACACCAAATTTTGCACGACCTAGGAACACCAAATTTTAGTCCAAGATGCCTTGTGTGAATACGCAGAAAATGTATATTTTGGAATTTCCCTCCATCCCCCCTCTCTCCCGCAAATGTCTAACTCCCGTAATTCTTGGAATTTCGAACTAAAATTTTGCAAATACCCCCAGTTAGTAATTATGTGTCCGTATGCCAAGTTTCACTATGATAGACCGATTTACCAAGAAGTTATAGCCATAAATATATTTGCTGCTGCAGCGCTGCTCAAGCGCTGCTCAAGCGCTGCCCGCGGCTGTTGTTGATGTTGCTGTTTGGTTGACTGCGAAAATGCTTACACAGACACGAATTGATGCGCATAGGCATACATACACTCACACAGACGCAATTGCTATGTAAATGTGCAATTATACACCCTTTTCGTGAGTTCGAATACCGAGAGAGGTAAAATCGATCCAATTTTTTTTTTATTTATTTTTTTTTTTATTTTCTATAATTATTGTAAACATATGTACAAAGTATTTCAAAGTCGGGACAGACGACTTTAGCTTTTTTACTTGTTTGCTAATAATTTTTCGTAGAATTAACCGATTTGGATGAAATGTGAAGAAAAAGTTAATAATTGTATATAGATTACCTATGCAAAGTCGGAATGTACCCTATTTACCCTGCGGGTACAGCGTATAAACAAGAAAGGAATGCTAAATTTGAGCAGACTTAACTCTTAAAAGCCCTGCACCACCCACAAAAAAACAAGAAAGGAATGCTAAAGTCGAACAGGCTCAACTCTTAATTACCCTCTACCACCCCAAAAAAAGAATTGATTAAATAATTAATTTAATTAATTAATTAAATGAAATATAAAATATTCCACACATACATTTACATTTACATCAGAATCGTGCCTATGCGTGTTTGTGTACTTGTACATATATGTATATTTGTGCATTACATAATTATGTCAAATGGCTATAACTTTCTTTCAAATCAACCTATCATAATGAAACTTGGTACACGGATATATAATCGCTGAATGTGACTACCAAATTTTAGTTCAAAATTCCAAGAATTACGGGAGTTATAGAAAATCGCTAATAGCGCGGAAGTGGGGGAGTGCATCGGGAAAAATGAACAAACTTGCCCTTCCTCGGGCGTAGGAGAATCTGGATACCAACTTTGGTTATTCTAGTTCTTATACTTTCTGAGATCCTTGCGTTCATACAAACAGACAGACAAAAGGGCATGGCTATATCGACTCGGCTTGTTATCCTGATCAAGAATATATATACCCTGTGCGGTCTGCCACGCCTCCTTCTTTGTGTTCCATGTACACTAATATACTCGTTTACCCTTTGGGTACAAGGTATAAAAAAACAAAATGTGTAAATACTATTCATTCAATTATACATAAAAACTTCAAATAATTTTATTTTTTTAGATAAAATGGAGCTCTTTATATTACAAAAAATTTTTTTGGTGATTGCGATTATCTGCAGTAAAACGGAAGAAAACGTAAGTAATCCAAGTGTGATTTGATTATATCAATAAATAAAGAAATGTTAGAGTCGAGCGGGCTCATCTCTTAAATAACCTATACACACGCCCACAAAAACAAAAGTTATCCATCTGTGATTTGATTATATCAATAAATAAAGAAAGAAAGTCGAGTGGGCTCATCTCTTAATTAACCTATACCCACTTCCACAAAAAAAAGGAAAAATGTCCGTATGAACACCTGGATCTCAGAGACTATAAAAGCTAAAGACACCAAATTTTGCACGAAGATGTCCCCCCATGGGGGATTTTCGTTCGCATAATCTCACCTATATCTCGCAGACTATAAGACGTATGGACACCAAATTCTAGTCCCAGATGCCTAATGTGAATATGTCCCTCTCCCCCTCACTCACTGATTTTTCATAACTCCCGTATTTCTTAGAATTTTTCATTGAATATCGGAAAAGCCCAGTTAGTGATTATGAGTCAGTAGCCGAGTTTCATTATGATAGGTTGATTTAACAGGAAGTTATAGCCATATAGTATATGTCATCTTGCGCAAGCAATGCATGCAGCTGTTGTTGTTGTTACTGCTTTGCGCAGGCACACGATAGAATAACAGACACACTCACATACAGGCATAATTTTTCTACACATACATATGTACAGAGTATTTCAAAGCTGGGACACTCGACTTTAGCTTCTCCACTTGTTTGTGTATTGACTCGGAGTTTCCATGTTGTTATTGTTATCATACATGCTCACACACAGACAAACTTACATAGACAAGCACAATTCCTTTGTAAACATTTAGTTCTACACCCATTAAATTTTGTAAACTTTTTTAATTTTCTTAATTATACTCTGTACATGAAATGTACAGAAGTATATTAGGTTTGCGGGAGCTGAAAAATGTAACAGGCAGAAGGAGGCGTGGCAGACCCCACAAAGTATATATATTCTTGATCAGCATGACGAGACAAGTCGATCTAGCCCTGTCTGTCTATCTGTCCGGACGAACACCTGGATCTCAGAGACTATAAGAGGTAGAGACACCAAACTTTGCACAAACATGCATCATATGTGTACGCTGTGCAAGTTTGTTTTATTTTTTTGATTTCCCCCACACCCCCCATGGGGGTTTTTCCGATTTTCCATTCGTATATTCACCTATACATCGGAGACTATAAGACCTAGGAACACCAAATTTTAGTCCAAGATGCTTTGTGTGAATACGCAGAAAATGTATATTTTGGAATTTCCCTCCCTCCCTCCTCTCCACCGCAAATCGCGATTTTCTCTAACTCCCGTAATTCTTGGAATTTCGAACTCAAATGCAAATGCCCCCAGTTAGTGCCTATGTGTCCCTATGCCAAGTTTCATCATGATAGACCGATTTAGCAGGAAGTTATAGCCATAAATATATTTGCTGCCGAAGCGCTGCCGGCAGCTGTTGTTGATGCTGACTGTTGTTGGTTGACTGCAAACATGCTTACACAGACACGAATACACGCGCATAAACATACATAGACGCAATTGCACACTGCGCAATCACATAAAGGCTGTATAATTGCACATTTACATAACAGTTGTGTCTATTTGACTCTATGCGTGTCTGTGTGGCATACGGATACATATCACTAACTGGAGGGGAAGAGGAAATTTCTGAAATACAAATTTTTGCGTATTCATATAAGCGACTAAAATTTCTTGCCTCTAGGTCTTATAGTGTCCGAGACATAGGTGATTATACGAACGGACATACAGACAGATGCCTGCCTGTCATGCCTCCTTCTGCCTGTTACATTTTTCACCTCATGCAAACCTACACCCTTTGGCACAGACAAGCCTGGCATTCGGGGGAACCCTTCGCCACTCACATTACCTGCCAGATTTAACTTACCATCTATTCCATATGGAGACCTGACACCAAGCAGATACCACGAGAAGGTTGTGAGTCGACTTGCCATGATTTACGAATTACGGAATTGCATTAATTTTACATGACCATATCCGCCACTCATACGATACATTAATATTTTTTTTAAATTGCAGCAAGCCGTCAAAAGAAGCATAGATCTAGCTGCAACGCATGCACTTATTTCAGATGTTCGCCTATCCAAAGATGTTGTGCCAACTAGCTACGAGATTTATTTAGAACCCAAGATCAATGAAAGTACTTTTGATGGGTTTATAAGAATGAATTTAATATGTAAAGCTGATTCAAAGAAAATTATGATTCATGCTCATTATGACTTATACATAAATGATAGAAATATCAAATTAAAAAGAAGTGTTTGGACGAATCCGTAAGTATTATAAAAAATAAATTCCATTCAAATTCGGGAAAACGCATATATACTCTATATATATATATATATATATATATATATATATATATATATATATATATATATATATATATATATATATATATATATATATATATATATATATATATATATATATATATATATATATATATATATATATATATATATATATACATATACGAGTACATTTAAATATATTTTAAGGATATATACTGTTTTCTTTAAGTTGTGTTTATTTATAGTGGTAATGAATCATCGTTGGAAAACATATCCATTGTACGAGGGGATAGGATGCCAAAAAAAACAATATATATTATTTATTTAAAAGATACCATAAAACAAGGTACTGAATGCGTATTAGAAATACCGTTTAATGGAGATGTTTGGGAAAATTCAGAAGGACTCTTTAAAGGGTTTTATATCAACTCATCAAAAAATAATAAAGAAGTATATTTTGCTACAAATATGAGACCGAATAACGCTAGACGAGTGATTCCGTGCTTCGATGAACCAGAATTTAAGGTAACATATTTAGCATATTTACCATATTAAACACACTTCTTCAAATTTCTTAAGTCAAAAGCTAAATAAATAATTGACAATTGAAGTTATAAAGTTGTAACTTACCTTATTAGACTAAATATGAGATATTATTTGAAGAATTTTTATACCCTGTACCCAAAGTGTGAAAGGGTATACTAGTTTTGTGCGAATGTACATACGTAACACAAAGAAGGAGGCCTTGCAGACTCCACAAAGTATATATATATATATTGCTGCCGACAGCAACAGAGTGCTCGGCTTCTGCAGCCCGGCTCGTACGACACTCTACTGCTATCGGCAGCGACCCGCGACAGAATTTCTCGTGTGTCCGAATGAGTTTTGGTCGCATTTTACGAACCCCGCTTAAAACTGGCGACGAGGATGGGATATTTCCAAAAATGTAATTATTAAAGTATGCTAGTTGATTTTCGTATACATACACTGTTGCTGCCGCAAACGCCTCTGCAAAAGATACCATTACGGCAGCACAAAAGGAATTGCAAACTAAATGTGTATGCGGTATGAGCGACAACAACGCATCTACACATTCCGCTATTCGTTGATAAAGCAATTGCTATTTCTCTCACTACGACTGTGCGCACATGAAAACGACAACACAAGAAACTGTTACTACACTTAAACAGTTGGTAGCGTCTGATGATGTGTTAATGCACTACGATGGCGCCCTGCCATTATTATTGACATGTGATGCATCGCCCAATGGAATCGGAGCTGTTTTAAGTCACCGCTTGCCAGACGGAACAGAGAAACCGACTGTTTTTATTCAAGAACATTCTCAAAGGCGGAGAGAAATTAGGAACAAATTGATAGAGAAGCGATCGCACTTATCGCACTTATCACAACTGCGAAATTTGTTCCAAATGTAATTTCGAATCAGATGCTGCGCCGAGCAATTTTCCTTCACGCCTATGATTTTACCTTTATACATCGCCCTGGAACTAGAATAGGCAACGCAGCCTGAGTGTACTAAAGAAATAATGATGATTGAGTGGCCCACCACACATATCGTTAACGCACATACGCTTGCAAATCTCAAAAGTTCTCAACTGGGTAAAAAGGGGCTGGCCGAAAACCAAAGTCCCGAACTCCGATAAATTGTACCTGTTTAGCACTCGCCAAAACGAGCTTACAACCAATAGAGAAGTCCTGGTCTGGGGAAACCGTGTGGTGGTACCGCCGTTGTGTAGACAAGCCATCTTACAAGGAGTGTTCCAAAGTAAACAGGACTTTTAAAAAAAAAACAGAACAAATGGTTTTTTCGGCAAAATCAATTTATTTTATTCAAAATAGTCTCCTTCTGCTTCAATACAGCTTTTTGCACGATCCAAAAGCATGTCGAACGAGTGTTTTAGCTCGTTGGCCGGTATGGCCGCCAGTATGCCGGTGCACGCCTTTTGAATGGCCTCTACGTCTGCATAACGCTTTTCTTTCATGGACAAATGCATTTTTCCGAAAAGGTAGAAGTCGCACGGTGCCATATCAGGTGAATACGGCGAGTGGTTAATGGTTAAAATATGATTTTTGGTCAAATAATCGGTCACAAGCGTCGATCGATAAGAGCAATTTTTGGTCGTCAGTCAATTTGTGCGGAACTAACCGTGCACACACCTTTCGTAAGCCCAAATGTTCGGTCAAAATGCGATACGTCTATGTTTTGGAGATGTTTAATTCAATTTCCATCAATTTCAATGACGATTTCGGCTGATTTTTGATGAATTCACGCACAGTTTCGATGGAATTTTCGGTGATCACGAATTTTGATTGGCCCACATGTTGATCGTCATTTATGTCCTTGTTCCATCAATTGAAACGTTCCGATATAAGTTTTACCAATTTTAAAACAAAATTTAATGTTGGCTCTTTGTTCGAAGCTCATTTTCGCACCGATAACACAAACACTGACACTTAAAACGCAACAACTTCACTTCCAATCGGTGAAATGTCATGGAAAATCGATAAAGATAGCAGATTCTAACGCACCAGTCGACATATAGAAAGCACCACCAGGGGGCGCTAGTTTCAAAAAGCCCTGTTTACTTTCGAACACACCTTGTAAGTGCCTTGGATGCCCCTCATCCAGGGATTTTTAAAATTAAGGCCTTAGCTCGTAGCTACATCGAACCGAATTGTTTGTTAAACGCCACATACCATGCCAGCAAAACAGAAACAAGCCAATATAAACAGCTACGCATCACTGGGAATCTGCCAAGCGTCCATGGTCACGCTTCCGCATCGACTTCGCTGGGCCATTCCGAGGCAACACCTTTTTCTTGGTGTATAGTCTCCCACTCCTTTTAGTCAGTCAGTTCGAATCAGTCAGCACATACACATCGCACTTCACAGCGGTCGTTGCACAATACATTACGATACAATACAATACACACACACACGCGCATTGTTACACACAACTATTTCTCCACCAACATAGTATACTTATATTAAATAAATAGTGCTGAATAAGCTAGCGCATATTTATAAATAGGTCAATTAGAACGAAAGTTATAGCCATGAATGTAATCTCTGCTCGCAGCTGTTGTTGTTGTTGCTGTTTGTTGACTTAATTCTGTATTTAATTTAAATTAATGTTTCAAATATTTTCTTTTACTTTTTTTCTTATTTTTGGATGGGGTACAGTATATTTAATATACTTACTCTTGCACATTTTATGTACGAAGTATAAAAGTACAATTTTGTTAATTTTAGGTACCCTTTACGGTGTCGATTGCAAGGCCTAAAGAATTTGTTATTCTATTCAATACACCATTACAAAGAAGTGAATTACAGTAAGTATTTTTATTGCAATGTTTATAATATATGTACAATAGCATTAAAGACAACATGTCCTTTGAAAGCTCTTCCCTGGATGAATATATGATTGATTTTTTCGAGACTACGCCACCAATTTCAACTTTTACGTTTGGCTTAATAATAACAAAACTCCAAAAACTAGACCCGTATAGTGAACAAATAGACCCACAAGTCCAACCTAACATAAATATCTGGAGTAATAATATTAATATGGAGGATCTTCAGGTATGTACTAAAAAATTAAACCCATTTGAAACAGGTATATACTATATACTAGAGTATTCTTTTTGTATGTGATACTGAAACTCCCTAAAATAGTATAAATATTTTTGAGAATTACTGAAGGGGAGGTTTACTCCGTTGAGCTTGTGTTGCTTTAGGGAAACTTTAAAAATCCTTGCGAATAGCGCCAACTATGATCTACCTAAAAGGTACAAGAATATATTGGGTTTGTGCAAAAGAAAAATGTAATAAGTAGAAAGAGACGTACAAACCCCATAAAGTACTTGTATACAAGTATATATTCTTAATCAGCATGACGAGAGAAATCGACTTAGACACGACCGTCCATCTTTCCGTCCATCCGCCCGTTTGCCCGTCTGTCTGGATGTACGCCTGAATTTTGGAAACGGCTAGGCATAAACTTGGCATGTATACGTTCCTAGTCCCTAGGTAACACGAGTTTACTTTATTATACCCTGTACCCGTAGGGTAAAAAGGGTATATTAGGTTTGTGCAAAGTATGTAACATGAAGAAGGAAGCATCTCCGACCCCATAAAGTATATATATTCTGAATCAGCATGACGAGAGAAATCGATCTAGACATGTCCGTCCGTCCGTCCGTCTGTCCGTCCGTCTGGATGAACGCAAGGATCTCAGAAACTATAAAAGCTAGAATAACCAAAGTTGGCATCCAGATTCTCCTAGGTCCAAGAAAGGACGAGTTTATTTTCGAGTTTATTTTCCCTTCCCCCGCTACAGAATTTCGTCAATAGCGTCCACATTTCAAATGCTACCTAAATCAAGCTTTGCACACATAATTACTATATAATTGTCTACTGTTGTTCAAAATTTTATCCAATTCAGTCAATTCTAAGAAAAGTTATTAGCAAAACAAATTCTCTCCAGTACAACCCCCCCAAACTGCTGCAACAAGTTCGCTCTTCTTGTTCCTTTTTTTGGGCGCATATAACTCAGTGACGGAAGTTTACCTGGGTACAGGGTATTACACTGTCGGGCTTGCTCGACTGTAGCGTTCTCTCTTGTTTTTATTGTACTCTGTACATGTGTACGTAGTAGACTCCACAAATTAATATATTCTTGATCAGCATGACAAGACGAATCGATCTACCCCTGTCTGCATGTCCGCCCGTATGAATACTTGGGTCTCAGAGACATTAAGAGCTAGAGACACCAAATTTTGTACACAGATGCCCTATATGTGTACGATATACGTGTGTCTTATTATTTTATATATCACTTCCCCCCTTTGGAGATTTTCGGAAACACCGTTCGTATAATTGTAACGACGCGCTAGCTGGATGCTGCGACACGTCGGGCATGGGTGTAGTTGTAATCCTAGTTTATAAGTTTAGTATATAAGTTGATATATATTGACTTCTGTAGTAGTGTAAGTAAGAAACGTGGCTTGAGTTTAGTTTTAGGTAAATCGGAGTCTGGAGGCGTTTAGGAGTGGACGTGTAGTAAAAGGTCATGGTTATTAATTAAAGTACATATATTTTTGGGAAACCGCGGATTTCAATGTTTGCACTTTGGGGTACCTATAAATTAAATTTCAGCCGGCGAGTATACCCGCGGCAGAGTAGCATCGTTGGATAATCATCTACATCTCGAAAAATTTATCACCTCAGTAAGTGAATTTTTGTCCGCCTGTTAATTTTCACGTTGATAGGTAAATTTGAAAGGAAGTTATAGCCATATATACGGGTCGCCAATTTATCTGACATAGCGCGAGGTCTTTCACGTGCTTCAGGGCCTGGGATAAAATTTATAGCATTACACACCATTGTAGGAGAACAACCTACTACATTTTGAACTTCATTGTAAGTTTTGCCCTCTAATATCAATTTTTGAATGATTGCACGTCGTTCAGGAGTGCAGTGCTTGGCTCTACCCATATCAGAAAAAAAACAAACTAAAATGTGTATTGGAAACTATTGTAAACTATTAAAAAACAAGATAGAACGCTACAGTCGAGCAAGCCCGACAGTAAAATAGCCTGTACTCTCCACAAAAAGAATAAATTAAAAAAAAAAAATTTTTTTTAAATTAAATTATTAAAAAAAATGAATGAATTAATTAATTAAAATAATTAATTAAATTAAATTAGAATACATATTTATGTTCAGTTTAAATAGCATACATTTACATCACGTACCTATGCGTGTTTATATGCGTGTATGTATGCAGCACAAAGTTGAACCAAAGCAGCAACAACAACAACAGCTGCGGGCAGCGCTGCCGACAGAGCTGCAGGCAGCGCATGAGCAGCGATTTTACTTATGGCTATAACTTTCTTCAGAATTGACCTATCATGATGAAATTTGGCACACGGACACATTAGTACTAACTGGATGTACCTACCAAAATTGGAAGTTATAAGAAACAAGATAGAACGCTACAGTCGAGCAAGCCCGACAGTAAAATAGCCTGTACTCTCCACAAAAAGGAAAAATTAAAAAAAAAAAAATTTAAAAAAAATTAAATTATTAAAAAAAAGAATGAATTAATTAATTAAAATAATTAATTAAATTAAATTAGAATACATGTTTATGTTCAGTTTAAACAGCATACATTTACATCACGTACCTATGCGTGTTCATATGCGTGTATGTATGCAGCACAAAGTTGAACAAAAGCAACAACAACAACAACAGCTGCGGGCAGCGCTGCCGACAGAGCTGCAGGCAGCGCATGAGCAGCGATTTTACTTATGGCTATAACTTTCTTCAGAATTGACCATGATGATGATTTTTAAATTCCGAGAATTACGGAAGTTATAAGAAAAAATACGAATTGCGGGGGAGTGGGGGGGTGTATCAGAAAAAATAAACAAACTCGTTCTGCCTAGGGCTTATAGGAACCTTGATACCAATTTTGGTTATCCTAGCTCTTGTACTTACTGAGATCCTTGCGCTCATACAGACAGACGGACAGACGGTCAGACTGACAGACGGACATGGCTATATCGACTCGTCTTCCCATCCTGATCAAGAATATATATACTTTGTGGGGTCTGCCACGCCTCCTTCTGTGTGTTACATACATGCGCACAAAACTAGTATAGCCTTTCACCCTTTGGGTACAGGCTATAATAGAATTTACTATTTGCAACTTTTCGTGAGCTTAAGGAGCGACACACTTAATATTTTTGGAATGTTTGTGCAAGCACTACTATTATTTTGAGAAGGGAATAGGGACTAGCTGTGGAAAATGCAAATACCAACAACAACAAGTGCACAAAAGGCTAAAGTAACGCGATATTTTATTGCGCTCTTGTTGTAGATCAGATCAGAAAGAAACGATTAAAAATGAAAGGAAACCCAACAAGATATAACGCTAGAGTCGAGCAAGCCCGCCAGTAAAAAAGCCTGTACTCTCCACAAAAAAGAAAAATTAAAAAAAAAAATATTTAAAAAAATTAAATTAATTTATTAAATTAATTAATTAAATTAATTAAGAAAATTTATTTAATACATACATAGAAGACATGTTTATGTACAGTTTTACATTTATATCACGTGTCTATTTGTATTTATATGCGTGTATGTATGCAGCACAAAGTTGAACCAAAGCAGCAACAACAACAACAGCTGCGGGCAGCGCTGCCGACAGAGCTGGAGGCAAAGCATGAGCAGCGATTTTATTTATGGCTATAACTTTCTTCAGAATTGACCTATCATGATGATACGGACACATAAGCACTAATTGGACGTAACTACTAAAACTGATTTCAAAATTCCAAGAATTACGGAAGTTATACAATAAAACACGAATTGCGGGGGAGTAGGGGGGGGGGTGTATCAGAATAAAAAAATAAACTTGACCTGCCTAGGGCTTAGGGGAACCTGGATACCAAGTTTGGTAATTCTAGCTCTTGTACCTTCTGAGATCCTTGCGCTCATACAGACGGACGGACGGACAGACGGACATGGCTAAATCGACTCGGCTTGTCACCCTGATCAAGAATATATATACTTTGTGGGGTCTGCCACGCCTCCTTCTGCGCACAAAACTAGTATAGCCTTTCACCCTTTGGGTACAGGCTATAAAAATACGAACGTAGTGAAAAGTATCACTACTATTATTTTGAGCACAACTGTATGTAATATCAATATCTGTTCAAGCATTGCCCGCATCTGGTGCACACATACTCACACACCGACACACCCATGTAAATGTGCAGCTATACACCAATTACGTGAGCTCGATTACCCTAGGCGGTAAATTCGATCAAAAAAAATGTAATATTACGCTTCCTTTAAATTGTACATAAAATTTACAAGAGTATATTAGGTTTGCGGGAGCTGAAAATGTAACAGGCAGAAGGAGGCGTGGCAGACCCCACAAAGTATATATATTCTTGATCAGCATGACGAGACGAGTCGATCTAGCTCTGTCTGTCTGTCTGTCTGTCCGTATGAACACCCTATCTCAGAAACTATAAGAGGTAGAGACACCAAACTTTGCACAAAGATACCTTATGTGTGTATTCATACGAGATTGTTTTATTTTTTTGATTTTCCCCCCCACTACCCCCCTATGGGGGTTTTCCCGATTTTCCATTATTATAATCGCCTATATCTCGGAGACTATAAGACCTACGGGCACCAAATTTTAGTCCCAGATGCCTTATGTGAATACACAGAAAATGTGTATTTTGGAATTTCCCTCCCACCCCCTCTCCCATGCAAATCGCGATTTTCGCTAACTACCGTAATTCTTGGAAAATTTTTCAAATACCCTCAGTTAGTAATTATGTGTCAATCTGCCAAGTTTCACTATGATAGACCGATTTAACGAGAAGTTATAGCCATAAATATATTTGCTGCTGCAGCGCTGCTCAAGCGCTGCTCAAGCGCTGCTCAAGCGCTGCTCAAGCGCTGCTCAAGCGCTGCCCGCGGCTGTTGTTGATGTTGCTGTTTGGTTGACTACTAATATGTTTACACAGACACGTATAGATGCGCATAGGCATACATACACT